AGCACGCACAAACATCAGTTCAGGTGAAGGGATTTTGCAAGGCATAAGAACAATAGACGAACAAGAAATTAGTAAAAAAAAAAAGGAAATTAACGTGGGTCAACAAATAAAATACGACCAAAAAACAGTTACTCAAGCAACGGGATATGTATTTTTCAAAATCATATCCAGTTGCTTGAGTAACTGTTTTTTGGCGTATCGTATTACCTGGATGTCTAACCTTCATCGACGCACAAATAAAATAATGCACTTGCTTCTTTTGCAAGATGGTAAATGAGTAGAAAACAGTTCTCATTTTTGCTTGCCTTTTTAACTTCAACAGGGTCTTTAGTTATAAACGCTCAGAAAGCACTTGCAACCATCATGCATACTTTACCTATGGTTTGTGCAGGAAGGAAAGCGACGTTGATCCAGTGCAATATGTCCAACATGACTTTTAAATCACAGTATGTACCAGACATGCAATTTGTCGCTTCGCAAATAAATTGGTATGTTCAACCTCCTTCACACGCGTTTGCCTCAACCGGTGGCAAATTTATCGCAGTACCCCATCCACATAACTCAGATAAAGTCCTTTTTATTAAGAACATTTATCTGGTTCAGTTGACTTCTGCACGCGGTATATATAGTAATCTACCTCTTTCGTGATAAATGAAAAGACATATACATAGTATTACTATAAAGTTAATAAAAGTACAGGTAGAAAGAAGCAGAAACGAAAACATATGTTGAGACATCAAATGGAGGTTCTATATGGAACACACAGAAAACTAAGTATGTACGCAGATGACATGACTGCGTTATTAGAAAATGTAAACTCAGCAAAATCTCTAATAGACGTACTCAATCAGTTTAAACTATGTAGCTGTCTAGAAATGAGTGCAAATAAAACAAAAGCAATGTGGCTTGGCTCCAATAGATTTAGAAAGGACAAGCCTCTACAGGTGCAGTGGAGTAATGAACAAAAAAAAATGGAGGTCAAACATCCTGACGAATCGGAAATCAAACACGTCGCAGTCGTGATACATTACACTTCGCTCTAATGGGGAGTTTAGATAACCCCTACCTGGATCAGCTTGCCCTTGATGTGTTTCTACATGACACTAACCGATTCATTTTCTTTTTCCGTGCATCAGTTGCCATCCAGAAAACCCCGTCAACCTTGTGTACACCCTAAATGATGATTAACTGATGTAAGGTTTATTGGAAGGCACTCAGCTAAAATGTAGATTTTCGGTGGATTTTGTGAAAGTCAAACAACTGTTGGTAATGTGTATTTCTTTTTGAGGTCATTAGTGGTAGTGATTGTTTTATTTCTCATTAATAAAGACAAAAACATTTACAGTCTCGCTGTGTGCGTTATGACCCGCGCAATGAATTGCACTAGAAATACACAACTGATTACAGATATCTAAAGAGAATTATAAAATTTTCTTTGAAACATTAGGTAAATACAATAAAAATACATGTTATCAATACAGATCTCAACTTATTACTGAATTATCATATCATACAATAGCTGGCCTGGTTAGTAACTCTGACCTCTTCCATTGGCAACCAGTGTATCGGTACGGATCTTTCAGCAATCCATCTTAGCTAGCTTCTAGAGTCTACTAGTGCCTTCTGGTGGAATAACCATAACCGAGCACTCCATTTCCATGATAATCTACCAGATGGATCCATGATAGAGAAAATGTTTCCGCCAAGTCGAGACAAACGTGCTCACGAGAAGGGAATAGTCATTAGCTAATCTTCTCGCTGGCGCCAGCCGAACTGTTTTTGCACATAATTAGCCTTGAGGTAATCGTGTCCCTGCACCTGTAAATGACCATTCCCGCCATATCAATGAGGTGTTCACGTCCCTCCATGATGAGTAATGATCTCTTTGAGAAACAAGCTCACGCGCGAAGGCCATTGAGGTATTCGCTAGCATGTGGATGCTTCATTCTCAAAGGGATGGTTAGCTGTTGTGCGGAATATTCATGCCTTTATGAAAGTTCAAATGGAGATACGACCTTTTGCTGCGTAGTCACTGTTTTAAGAGGTTTAAACGCTGATGTGGTCTTACTGATGAACCCGCCAGCTGCGAACTCAAGGGCCGCTTGCAGATAACATCGGTGATTTCATTCAGGTGTCGCAGCGAAGCACAGCCGCATACATACGGAAGTACATTGGAAATGTGCTTAGCCGTCTGGAAAGTTTTCTGCAGTGACTGATTCTGTTTTCTGCATTCAACATTCATAGGGAGGTCAAGGGTAACAGATTAATATAAGAATACGTGAGGTACGCCCTAAAGGTAAATATCACAAAAGCTTCAGAATCTGATCCCCTCTACATTTGTTTTGAAAGCAATCACTCTCTCTCTCTGTCTATCTGTCTGTCTGTCTCTGTCCTGTCTCCCTCTCTCTCTCTCTCTCTACACACACACACA